TTTTTTTTTTTTTTTTTTTTAGTATGTGGTTGTCCAGTTTTCCTAACATCATTTATTAAAGAGACTATCCTGTCTTCATCGTTATGTTCTTGGCTCCTTCATCATAAACTAATTGTCCATGTATGTGTGGGTTTATTTCTGAGCTCTTAATTCTGTTTTATTAATTTGTATATCTTTTTTTGGCCAATATCATGCTATTTTGATTCCTATAGCTTTGTAATATGCTTAAAATCAGGGAGTGTGATTACTTTGTATATTCAGGGTGTTTTGTGAATCCATATAAATTTTAGAATTTTTGCTTCTGTTTTTCTGAAAAATATTCTCAGAATTTTGATAAGAATTACATTGAATCTGTAGATACTATGGGCATTTTAACAATATTACTTCTCCCAATCCATGAGCATAGAATATCTTTCCATTTATTTGTGTCTTCTTAAATCTCTTTCAGCCATGTCATAGTTTTCAGTGACCAAGGTTTTCACCTCCTTGGCTAAATTTATTCCTAGGTATTTTATACTTTTTGTTGTGATTGTAAATGGGATTTTACTTTCTCTTTTTGCTATACCATCATCAGTGTATATAAATGCAACAGATTTTTATTCATTTTGTACTCTGCAGCTTTACTGTATTTATTATTTCTAATAGTATTTGATGGAGTCTTTAAGGTTTTCTATATATAAAATCATGTCATACGCAAATAGTGATAGTTCTATTTCTTCCTTTTTAATTAAGATGTCTTTTAAGTGATACACAAAATGAATAATAAATCATAAGCATTTTGTAAAATAATGGGAGTTGTATATTTTCTAACATCTAAGAAATATTCACAAGAAATGAATTATTTTTTCCAAATTCTCAACAAATTATTATAATTCACGTCACACTATTTTCTATAAAGTTAGAAACTGCATGAATACACAGAAACATGGTGAACATTTCTCCCAAGTAAAAATTTGAAGTTTAAAGTTGTCAACATCTTAAAAATTAAAAACACTCTCTGTAAAAGTTTTCTAGTAAAAGAGTAATAACTTTTAATGGCATAGTTACATACCTATGGACTAAGGAGTTAATTCCAAGCAATATATAAAAATTAAAGGGTCACAGTTAAGCTGTACCTAGGTAAATAGACTTTCATAAAACAAAAATAAATAATATCAAAAGCAGATGTGTCAACATCCAAATTAGAGAATAGAAATTTCAAAACATATCCAAATAAATTAACAATAAGATACTAAAAACTAAATGGAACAAAATACTCTCCAGAGAGATAAATCTTAATTTGAACATATGTTGAACATTGGTCATCCTACATGATATGACTCAGAGTGTGATTAAATGTTAACATTTTAAATGCAATTAAGTGCCCGCACTGTTAAGCATGAATGCATATAATTGTTTTGTGTTCACTTAGTGGTGGCATTGTAAAGTGATAGTTAAAATTCAGCAATCTCTTCTTGAGATTTGATATTTTCTTCTTTCTTTATATCTAAGTTATGGGTAAAAAGAGAATCTCTTAAGCTCACATTTATTTATTTCTTAAGCTATTTCTTTATAATAACTTGTAAATATATTTTTGGTGGCCTTATGCCCATATCTGAAGTCAAACCAAGTGTTAAAATCAAGTACAAATAGATACCAGACTTGAAAATTACCTGAGCAGGCAAAACCAATTAAGACATACAAGCAAAATTTAATTAAGCTTATTCTGCACAGCAAGCAAAACTTATCATAGACCACTTCTTTTAAATGCCTCTGGAAATCATAACCAAAACAAACTGTTCCCCCAAATAGCTATGAGGTAACCACTTTAACCAATCCTCTATCTACCTCTTGGAAAGCTCTAATTTTATAACCAATCACTGTAAATAATAAACAGCCTCTGTGCTCCCAGTCTATAGGCTGTCTTATAACAATATTCCTCTGAGCCTCATTCCATTGTTAGTTTAAAAGCTCCTAGGTAATGAACCATTTTTATATACATAATAAACACAACTTACTATTTTTGTAATCCAGTGCTTTTATCTCTGCTACTTCCAAATTCTGACACATGAAATACTATGAGGTAGCAGAAAAAATAAACACAATTCTCATATGCATACAAAATAATTTAATATGTTCAATGTTAAAAAAATAATCTGTCAAAAAGATACAAACACTCTAATATAAAGACTGATTAAGTTCAAGAACACAATGTTAAAATGTAGAAAAACGCATTTAAAAATTTCTCATCATTGGTACAAAGTAAGTAAAATATTTTTTAAGTTAACTAACTGGACAACGTTAGCAAAGCAGGAAAGAGAATGCACATTCTTGTACATTGGTAAATGGATTATAAATCCATATACAATTTCAGTCTTCCTGTACATAGGTATCAAAAATCTTAACAGTATACATATAGTAACACTCCCTAGTTAAACTATATGAATGGTTACTAAGGACATAGTAAAGTCTTCTCTTTAAAAGAATAGCAAATTCAATATTCACAGAGACCTGTCTGCTAATGCACGTAAATGAAAATGTACAGTTGAGAAGGGTGGCCAATGGTAGAAAGCCATTCCTGGGTGAGAAACACAGGAGTGGCTCAGCTCCATCTGATAATCCATGGGAATATGTATGTTTATTATTTCAAAATCTAGGGATTTTTCTCTCAGTATTAATATTTGTATGTGACAACTAATTTTAAATATTGGTTCAATGGGTTTTCAAACACTATGAAGAGTAACAGAAGTCTTTGCTAAGTTGAATATTTCACCTGAAACAGAAATTTGTTACTTCTTGATTCGCCAACTAGATTAACTTCCAAAAATCGAAAGGAAGAGAATGGGTGACCCTGATTTGAATGTATGCACATTGCTGGGTCAGTATCTGTGGCCAGACAGATGGAGCAATATTGTCTGGGCCTGAATCACATGTTTGCACATATCACTAAGGGTTAGGATTCTGTGATGGACAGACAAGTCAAGACCCTGACAATGAAAATGAAGGAGATGTATTTTCTGAATATACAGTTGTGTGGTTACCAGAAATATTGCAACAAGGGGTTATCTGTTCAATATACACAATTTGTATAGTTCATTTTCCTGAAGTAGAGAGTCCAGATATGCTATGGGGTAGGCTAAACCTATGGGAGAGGTAAAACATTTATCTATAGGGTGACTGAAATACTGGGACAATTTAATGTATATTAGTTTATGAAATTCTGGTGCTTTGTTACCTGAAAAAAATCACAGTTTGAAATTATTGGCTAACTAAAAAAGTGAGAAAAGAGAAATAATTCTCTTTTAAATAAGTAAGTGAACAAAGATGGTCACCTAATACAAAGAAATAATTTTTACATGCACACTTTTTACATTCATTTCAGTTTATTTTTGATCTATTTATTAAACATCTCCTGTCAGATTTTCTCTATTGAAGAATCATTACTTACTCCTGAAAATCTCCATAGGACCCATTATCATGCAATTAATAGAGTGTGTTTATTAAAAATATAAGCAGGGATTAAAAAATTCAAATATTAGAGTATATTATAAAACTATAAAAATGAGAACAGTTGTTATCTCTGGAAAACAATTATATTTACTTTCATTGCTATGGTGGATCAGGTCTAGCTGAGAACATAAGATCTAATTAAGTATCTTTTCAGAGTGAGAGACAATTTATTGCTTATTAAATACAGCTGCAGGACTATATGTAGACACAAGGATAAAATATTTTTAATCTAGTTGAAGATGTAGTTCTAATTTACATTTAAAAGACAAAAACAACCAGTAAAAAGATAAATGAAAGTACAAAACAAATTATGTGGAGTGATAATATTTCTTAATAACCAAAATTACTCAGTGAAAGTTGTATAAATTCAAATGTGTAATTTATGGCCACAGCATTGAACTATAAGAGAATTAATGAATTTTTAAAAATAAATTGTTAAAGGTCAAATATGTCAATAAGTCAAATATGTAAAAAATATAAAGATCAGAAATAATAAATGGGTAAGTGTAGCATGAAAAAAATCCAAAACAAGAATGTTAATATAGCACACACACAAGAAAATTTTCAAAATCAATTGAAACTAAATGAATAAATATATATTGCAATTACAATGAGGACTCATCATTTACTAACTCAATAAAATAAAAAGCATAAAATCATATATACCAATTTTATGAATTGGTTTGTATACACATAAACTATGCACACACATGTACATATCTATTTGTTATGTTATAAATGTACATGACTCATCAATTTGATAAGAAAAAAAAATCAAGAAAATAATTATTCCCTTGGACCCACTATTTTCACTTTTGAAGATTCAGCAAGAAAAAAGTATTTTTCACAAAGTGGGACCTTTCATAGAAAGAAGTTTATAATTTGGAAGGAAATGGTATGATAAATTTAAAAAATAGTTAAATAGACTGCTATAATTATAAAGTCAAACTACTATAGATAATTAGTTAAATATTATCAAAGCTATACTATTGTGGTTCTAGAAATTAGTAAAACAAAACAAAACAAAACAAAACAAAACAAACATACAACATCACTTCCAATATAAAGTGGTAAGAACAAGAAGAAAATTTTGTGTTTGTGAGCCACACTTGAATAATATATTCAAAATTAAATATGTTGTCATAAGAATTGGAAAACAAAGTTCTGAGCAATAAGTATTGACAAATATTGTTACAATACAGTGGTTTAGGGAAAATTAGTTTAAAATGTAGTATAGAGTCAATACTACTTAGGATTCACATTTTTTCTCTTCCCTAATTAAAAAAAAAGAGTTGTTTTTTATATTGATTGTTGACTGGCAGATTTCTGACATTGCATTTTTCTTAATAAATGTGTGAAGCTCTTATGAGGTATAGCAGGAAGGCATGCTCTGTTTCATTAGTAGTCCACAGGGAATAGGATGAAGTGGTTTGGCCATGAGATGTCAACAGAAAAGTACCATTTGCTGGCTGTATATTGCTCATCTCTGTTACAGTGAAATCCTTTTGTAATTAAGGTCTATCCTTTCTTCTTCTATTCTCAATAGATATCAACTTCTTATGGTTACTTTTCTTCTGAAGACCTTCCTGAGGGCTCCAGCCATCTCTGTTTCTCAGACTGTAGATGAGGGGATTGAGCATGGGAGTGAGGATGGTGTAAAAGATAGAGACCACTTTGTCCTGCTCAGCAGTGTGATAGGCTTTGAGGAGAAAATACTTGATGATGACTATTCCATAGAAAAGTGTCACCACAATCATATGGGAAGAACATGTTGCCAAAGTTTTCCTCATCCCCATGTTTAATCCTAATCTCAAAACAGTGTAGAGAATCTGCCCATATGAAGCCATGATGGCAGGTATTGGAAAGAGGAGAAATACAACACCACTGACAAAAAGACCATTTTCATAAAGAGAAGTGTCAGCACAAACAAGTTTCAGGAGAGCTGGGATCTCACAGAAGAAATGATGGATGTCCCTGGAGCCACAATAAGGAAGATTCAGAACATAGACAACATTGATGAAGGCATTGAGAAGTGCATCCAGCCAAGTGCCAACCACCATGAAAATACAAACTGTAGGGCACATGAGAACTGAGTAGTGGAGGGGATGGAATATTGCCACATAGCAGTCGTAAGCCATGACTGCCATGAGAAGGAACTCTGCTCCCACCAGAGTCATGAACAGGAAGAGCTGAATTACACAATTACTATAGGAAATGTTGTTTTTTCCAGACAAAAGTAGAGATATACAAGAGGTCCATCAAAGAAAGTTAACTGAAAAGAAATTTCATAGGCGTATGGAGGTGAGAGTCCAACCAAATGAGAATCACCATCATAACATTGACAATATGGGCGACAAGAAAAACTAGGAAGATGAAAGTAAAAAGTAGCTTGGGGGTCTGGATTTGGTAAAACAGTCCCAGGAGAACAAAGTCAGTCCCGGCGGTCCTAGTTTTCCGTATCTCCCTTCTGTCCATCCTAATTCATTACCTTGGATAGAGTTTACAAAAATCTTTAGGTCCACTCTCTATCCACTTTTGTACCACTCTTATTTTACAATGTGTCACTTTCATTTTCTTCTTAGCAATATCAGTGACATATTTTATATATAAATGTGGTTTGACTACATTTAATTATATGTGTTTATCACAGAATGTTGTCACTCTCAGAACTTTAGTGCGAAATTTCTTAAGACAGATTTATAAATAATTCTCAGGATTGGACACTTTCAGTATTTTAAGGAAATGTATTTAAAATCTTTGAAATTTTCTAAGTACAACTTAATTAAAAGAATAAAAAATTAAATATCTATCTCTATAGATCTATTTATCTATAAAAAATATCCAACACATACTTAAAGTCATTCCGTGGCCTTGCATAGTTCTGATTTCCAAGTACTAGAGATTAGATAAGTTTTCAGTCTTAAGTAAATAAGTAATCTTCTGTACACCTACACAAAATCTGTTCAGTGTTTTACATATGTCATTTTGACCACTATAACAGTCTTCAAAGGGTTACTTTCTTTGTTTTCAAAATATGATTAGACTCTCAAAGAGATCAACTAATACGTGCAGATATAGAGTACTGGAACTAGAACTATAATTAGATGTAAATGTTTGCAAGTGTTCTGATCTAGTCTTAGCTGTTACCTAATTCTCTAAAAACGAAATTGGTTTAAGGTGTTCTGTTTTTAAATAAAGAATGTATAAGAACTTTTTTTGAAATTTGACCACTGAAAATCTAAGACCATCCAGAAAGTACAGAAAAAAGCGCAGACAGGCTGCTTGCTGAGTCAAATTCCAAATCCTGAGGTCACATAGTCACAAGACTGTTGATACTGTGAAAAACAAAAACAGTAGCAAACAATCAAATGACTGTTATTGATCTATTCTAGCCAGTGGGCTTGGTAATTTTCTTTATCTGTGCTGCAGTTCAGTAAAACTCTGGGTGTAAGAAAACATACAGCACCTAATCTAATGAGAAAATAACCTATTCTGTAGAGAAAAAACTGGAGAGAAGCTCCATTGATAGGTTTCAAGTGCAATTTGAGAAGTAATATGCTTATGTACAGACATTACATTTTTCAAGGTGTCCCTCAAAATTGTGACATAATAAAGCACAATAATACCAAAAATTAAATTTCACACAATTAGACTTGCTCCTTGAAGAATGTAGTTAGTGGCTGTCACGATCTATAGTGACTTGCTTTTATGGCTTGAAACTTGACCATTTATATGTTGTTCTACATAAGAAATTCCACCAAAATTAGCATTGACTCCTGAACAAGAATTTCTTTAAACAAGCCAACTCAATTAGGAAATAAAAGAGATTACCTTCACTCAGGATTTATTTGGTATCTCTTCTTATCCCAAGTCATTATGAACAGTGTCTATGAAGTTACATACACTTTGCTTGAAGGAAAAGAAGTGAGTAAAATGCTCCAATGAGAAAATTTTAAAAAAACACTAAGTATTTTAATTCGTGATGGTAAATTAATTGCATTGTCTCTAAATATAAATGCATCTTTTAGTATAAAAATGTATATTTTACAGTCAGCTATCCTAAACCAGTAGTGCATATTACTACTGTTGGCAGATGCAGATGTAACCTAGATAGGATAAGGGAATTATAAAATAGTAATTTATTAAAAGACTATCCTTCTATATCTTTAATCCTCTCTTAGTGTGATGTTCTTCCTTGAACAGATAGTGTTAGTACAGCGCCATAAAGACTTTAGACACTCAGTAAGAATTTTGAAATTTTGAGTTACTTCCAATTGGCTACTCTTCTTGTTTACAATCAAATAACTTGGTATGTGATTTCTTGAAGTCCAAGACTACATGAAGTGAGTATTTGGTTCTGTTTACCCACTCCAAAGTGAAAATTAACATGCAAGAAAGTAGACATAATCATAGACTGTTGTTTTAGTATTAATATAAAGTGTTATTTTACCTCATGTTGTTCAAATGATTTCCACAAATGATATTTTATATAATAGTCCATAATTTGATGAAAATTATATTTTCTTTTTTTAATTAATTAAATTAAAAAATTTTTAAATTTTATTCTATTAATTTTTTATACAGCAGGTTCTTATTAGTTATCCATTTTATACATATTAGTGTATATATGTCAATTATATTTTCAATATTTTAAGTACTGAAGACTTTTTAAAAACACATTTACAGATGTGACTGACAACTTATTAAAAAACTGCATAGATTTTTTTTACATGAAGAGTCAATTTATTCAACTGAAATAACTGGTAGGATCTTAAAATCCAAACGGCTCAAAGTTTAACCAGTTTTAACTCAAATACTTACCTTTTACACTGTTTAAGTATTATGAATAAGAAGCATATCAAATATGCAGTCCTTTGTGCTTAATTAAGACTAGGAGTAAAAGATGCATTTTCCCTAATGTATCTTTTTTCAACAAAATATATTAAATTGTTATATTTATTTTGATAAAGTCAAAATTTTTACACTTACAAATTTTAAAAAGTTTCCTAATTTGAATCTTCAGAGGCAAATAAATACATAAGTAAGTAAACAAATAGATAAATCCCACTGTCCATGTTAAAAGATATTCAATGGCTGTACATTCTGGGTATGTATATTTTTTAATTCAAAAATTGAGCCAAGTTTTTCTTTTCTTTTTTTTAATGGAAGGATATATCATATCAGATACATGTGGTAAGTACATAAATCTGGTATTTAAAAGTATTGCTCTATTTCACTTATTATTTATATTGAATTACAATTTTGAATAAATTATTCTGTAATTTTATTTTTACCTGTATTGCAAAACAAGGCTGATGTTGTGTCTTGTAAAGAAAAGTTCCTGGTCAACATCAAGCCTTTCAACTAATTATTTGGCATCAAATAAATCCATTTTTTCCCAGAAATACTAGCTATAAATTGTAATATATATCCCTCAAAATATCACCAGAAATTTCTTTATGTAGATGGAAGCATTGCACATAGAAGTATCCAGAGTGACTCATCTCTTGATGTCAGGCCCATACATTATCAATGAACTAAGGAGGTTAAATAGCCCACAGAAATCTCTCTACCATAAAGAGTTGTGACAACTTATAATTCCACCTGTACTGTCCTCAGAGAAAATGTCCCTTGTTTGCCTCTCTCCTCCTTTAGGTAGACAGTAGCATAATCATTCCATTGTCCTTCAAATACCCAAATAAATAAACCTGTCCCCTTAGAAACAAACAATAATATCAGTCAATTTCATAAGCATTTGTTTATCAGCACCAGATTCCTCCACCTTGACAGTTCAAAAATTGCCATGTCAATATCCCAGTTCAGAATTTAATAGATGAGACTATAGAATATCTGTCATTTAAGATCCAGAGCAAGTGTACTTCTTTCCTGACTTCACCATTGTTCAGTGACCTCAGATATGTTACTTGACCTTTGGTTTTTCATGTATAAAATGGGATAATAAGAGGATACATGTATAGGTTTTGTGAGGATAATGTTAATTAATTATTGCAAATTTATTAGGACAGTGAAAGATGCACAGGAGAGAATAAAAGTTTCACAATGTGGAGTTGAGCTTGAATTTTATGACTAAGTATAATTAGGACTATGAATTGATCTATATAGTTTTGTTTTACCTTCTGGTCATATCACACACACAAACTAGAGACTTATGTAACAACCAACATATATATATATATATATATATATATATTATCCTAAGTTTGTGGGTTTTTTTGTTTGTTTTTTTTTTCCCTGTACGCGGGCCTCTCACTGTTGTGACCTCTCCCGTTGCGGAGCACAGGCTCCAGACGCGCAGGCTCACGCGCCCAGCCGCTCCGCGGCATGTGGGATCTTCCCGGACCGGGACACGAACCCATGTCCCCCGCATCGGCAGGCAGACTCTCAACCACTGCACCACCAGGGAAGCCCAGCCAACATATATTTTTAATGAACTACATGTGTGACTCTATATATCACCCATGTACATTAAGTTTCTGGGTCTTTTTCAACTAGAAATATGCATCCACCTTTGTGAATTTTGTACATTTGTGATAGTATTGCACATATCTTATTAAAGTATCCCTGTGCACTCTTAATTGCAAAATTATTCTCATTTTTCTATATATAGAGAGGCATATATAATGTTTCTCAGAAGTTGAGCTTAATTTGTTTGATATGAGCTTAATTTGGGAATGATACATCTAGCTGAGATAGATAATTAGGTCACACTGTGAGGTTAGTTAGGTTAGGTCACATGGTGAGATTCGTTTGATGTAGTATTTGTTGTAGTGTTAGCCATTGGATTTTTCTACTGTGTATTTGTATATCAAACTAGTGTTATCATTTATTGATTACTTTCTATGTGTCAACCAGAGTTCTAAGTACTTTACCTTTATGTTAAATCCTCAGGCCTGCTAATGTCCCTACCAGTAAGGCACTGTGAATAATACTGCTTCAGTGCCTGTGATCATATCCACCATGTTTTACATACACACAACTTTAATATCACTAAAGTTTTGATTTAGAATTTTTTACTCAGAAAAATTTTAAATATAGTATGAAAATCTAAATTCAACAGAAATCAGCATTTGAGAGGGACTTCAACACACCTCAAAATCATTACAACAACCATGTAATT